GTATATTTTAATTGATTGTAAATAAAAAATTCACTAGTAAACTCTGCACCTTCTGCCTAAGTGACAGCCTGTTTGGCATAAGACCTTTAAGAATTTGCCCATTCTGAAAAGGGACATCCAGCTCCAGAAAAGCTGCTCATCACTTAGATTATGAGGGCCATTTTAATTTTTTTAAAAACCCTGACGCAATAATATAAACTTGTTAGATGGATGGGAAAAGGGGGTTACATATCCTCTAACGTTTCACATCAGAATATGGTTAAGTGACAGCCTGTTTGGCATAAGACCTAACAAAAGAGTTATTAAAGAGGAAGAACACACATCTTGAGACCCTGCATCAGTTTGCTTTTGCCTGGGTCTGTTGGGATGGGCAATATTCCAATATTTCCTCCCTGTTGAGCCAACTGAGGCCTCTTCTACACTGCCATATAATCCGCATTATCAAAGCAGTTAATCTAGATTATCTACTTTGAACTAGATTATATGAGTCTACACTGCCATATAACCCAGTTCAAAGCAGATAATCTGGATTTTATATGGCAGTGTAGAAGGGGCCTGAGTGCAAACCACATCTACACATTGAACTTAGCCCCTTCCCCTATGACCTTTATCTCAGCCATATTGTTTTATGATGAAGTTTATGACTGTGTTATGTTTTATTATTTTTATTTGATTGATTTTAACTGTGTCTCTGTTTTTATCTGTAATTTTTGGGCTTGGGCTTTGTAAGCTGCACTGAGTCCCCTAGGGGAGATGGTGGCAGGGTATAAAAATACAGTTGTATTATTATTATTATTATTATTATTATTATTATTATTATTTGGTAGTAGTAGTAGTAGCAGCAGTATTTTACTGACACAAAAACACAGTATGTCACAACAAATGAGATATATATGCTGGATTTCGTTTCACAAAATCACAAGTTGAACACTGCCAAGCGTCTAGGACTGTATGATGTGTTGTTGTTGTTTTTGTTGTTGTTGTAGGATTTTCTGCCTTGATATTCTGTGTCATATGGCTGTGTGGAAGGGCCCTCAGTTTGCAGCAATTGAAATAAGCTAGGAACGAAAGGAGGAAGTGAGGGATGGAGAGAGAAACCAGGACATTGTAATATCAGCTGAAGATGTGGGTTGACAGAGAATTCATCAGGTCCCTCCTTGCCAAACTGAGGAAGTTAGAGAGAAGGAGGTGTAATCTCATAGGGCCCCTTAAGCTTTGGGCCTAAACATATCTTGTTCAAGGCCTGGCTCTCCAACCCCTGGCCTCCTAGCACAAGATGGTCTTCCAAGGTATAAGAACACAGACTTTTGGGCAGCCCAGTTTGTCAGTTGTTTAAGTGCCTTAAACATAATCTGCAGTCCTTTTGTTATGCCTGTAAATGGCCCTATAACTACAGAAACTGTGGTTTAATGACAAACCATTTAGATTCCATGGAGCAAATGACAGCAAGGTTTCCACAATCTTCAGAAGTAGCCACAAGTGAAACACGCTGCAGTAGTCTCACACATAGCTAGACTGGCACACTTTAACAGCTTCCTAAGGTGATGGTAAATGTTTAATGAGAAACATACAGTATAAGCACAGCTAGGTTTGTAAGCAAATTATCAACGTGATCAGATCTGCTGCCAGTTAACAATGCTTTTCTTTGCAACTCTCATCATTTGTCGGTCGTCCTGGTTTTGGCACAGTGACATTTTTAAACAAGTGTTATTATCGAGTCAATGTCCTCAGCTTGATCTCAATTCATCTCATGCTTACTATGAGTACATCTACATCAGTGGTTTTCAACCTGTGGGTCCCCAGATGTTTTGACCTTCCCAGAAATGCTAACAGTTGGTAAACTGGCTGGGATTTCTGGGAGTTGTAAGCCAAAACACCCGGTGACCCACAGGTTGAGAACCACTGGTCTACATTGTAGAATTCACATAGTTTGACATCACTTTTAACTACAATTGCTCAATTCTGTGGGATCATAGGGGCTGTAGGTGTACAAGGTCTTCAGTCTTCTCCGCCAAAAAGTTCTGGGGCCTCCCCTGAATTCCAGATCTTATGATTGCATAGCATTGAACCATGGCAGTAAAGTGGTACCAAACAGGATCAATTCTAATTAAATGCACCTCATGATATTGTATTTAATGCATGAAATTAATCAGGAGAAAATGTGAGTGCAGTATATCTGAAATTTCTTAATATCCCTAGCATCAGATGTGTTATTGCAGATGTGTTATTGCAGATGTTCAATGTATTGCCGAAGACTTTCATGTCCAGAATCACTGGGTTGTTGTAGGTTTTTTGGGCTGTATGGCCATGTTCTAGAAAAATTCTCTCTTGACGTTTTGCCTCCATCTATGGCAAGCATCCTCAGAGGTTGTGAGATCTGTTGGAAACTAGGAAAACCCAATTTTTCTAATTTCCAACAGACTTCACAACCTCTGAAGATGCCTACCATAGATGCAGGTGAAATGTCAGGAGAGAATGCTTCTAAAACATGGCCATACACCCCGAAAAACCTGCAACAACTCACTTTCAGATGTTGTATTACTGTTCCTATCAGCCCCAGTCAGCATAACCAGTGATGATAAATGCTGAAAGAAACATCTGTAGGCAACGCACATTCTCTAGAACTAGCTTAGTGTACCTTACTATACTTGGCAAAGGACTTTCAAATCCACAAAATGCTTGGGCTTCATATCTGTGGATCTGCAAAATGTTGGGGTTCATTCAGGTTCTCAGTAGTACTTCCTGGAGTTAGATTTTGTTTTTTCCCCAAAATGAGCACAGTATACCTGGTGATACCGTGCCCCATGTCAGATCAGTAACCAAAAATAATAATAATGCTGCATTGTTGTTGTGTTCATGTCTATGTAGCCCTATAGTGAACCTATGACTTGTTTTTATGAACAAGTTTCATTGTCTTCCATTGAAGCTGACCGAGAGTGACTTGCCCAAGGTCACTCAATCGATTTTCCAGAATCATAATCCAATACTCAAATCATTATACCAAGTTTTCTTTCACCGGGATGCACGTTGCCTAGATGCCAGTTCAACAAGAACAACTGCTGATTTTCCCCTCTTTCTCGCTAGCCCTTACACAGCCTTCCCCACGCTGGAGGCAGGGCTGTGCTGACCGGGGAGGATGAGTGTTACTGTAGTCCAGCTCATTCAGAAGGCACTGAGTTGTAGAAAGCTGCTCCAAAGTATGGGTCACAAAGTTAAGTGCCTTCAAGTGACATACTCGCAATTCACAGCCAAGTAAGCAGGATATCTCTGTGTTAATTAAACGTATTTCATGAGCTTCATCTCAGTTTTGAAGTTGATTTATGTGAGGCTTGAGAGCACCATAGGCTGATGCTGACAGCACTGGGAAAAGGCCCTGGTTCATAACAACCGGTGCATCCAACCTCTTTGAAGATTTTTCTTTCCCTTAATAGTGCTGCATGTGCCTTTGGCTGTCACTGTGACACAATTTGTATGCATCTTTACTGAGTCTTTCCAAACACAGGAAACAGCTCAAACTGTATTTCATTTGAAAATATAGGCCTCTTTAAAAAAAAAACAGAAAGAAAACAATTTCAGCACCTACCAAAACAACAAATTAGCTAAATCAAAATTATACATGTAGAGTTAACTTTTTCTTGGCATCATTAAGAAAAAGAATTTAAAAACAAATGGGCAATTACATTCACATTTATTTTAAATACCTTGACAGGTGTAAAGTCAAAAAAGATTATTTATGTGAGATGAAAAGGAAAGGTGTGTCCTTCCAGGGAAAGCAGTGTGTCTTCCTAGTCTGGTGGCTTCCGTGTCAGTAGGGATAGATTCAGCAGAGGTTTCAGTCTAGAGCTGCCCAAAGTGATGAATGTGTGTGTCGCCTGTTGATTGATGGGGACACTATGGATTTCATAGAGTTTTCTTAGGCAAGGAATGCTTTCCCCCGACAGCATCTATCACAACCTTTAAGCTTTTGACTAAAAATTGGGGGAATAGTCATGATCCTAACATTGGCTTCTTCTCATTGTCATGTGTGAGAGAGCATACTACACGGCTCTTAAAATGTTGTTGTTCATCAGCATTAATAATAATATTATTGTTGCTGTTTTTATGCATTATTTCTTAATATTATTCATTATTTGTTAACATTATTCATATGGGTTGAATATCTAATATAAAATGCTTGGGATCAAATGTGCTTTGGACTTTGGAATTTTTTTTATTTAGTTATACCTGTATTTGTGTATATATATATGCATAATGTGTTTCCCCTTCCTGGGGCATTTGTGCCCCACTCTGTGCTGGTCATGGACTGTAATAAAGTCTTGACTGATTGATAATGAGATGTCTTGAAGATGGGATCCAAGGCCTATTCAGATATTGAATCTCTTCTGGCAGGTCATTCCACAACAACAACTGTAGTAATAATAACAATAATTAGATTATGATGATTATGGTTACACCTTTTTCTCAGACTGGGACTTCAAGCAGCTTACAATAGTTGAAAAAGCATAGAAGTTACCATTGAACAAACAAAAATACATTAATGTTCAAACATTAAAACAAACATTAAAATTAATAACATATCCAAATTAAAAAATTAAACCATCATTATCTTTGGAACCAGTTCAATTAAAACAACTAAAATAAAAACAAATAAAAGTACTTCACAATATATGAAGCTCATGACATTTGTCTTGGAAAATCGATTTTCAAAGGGTTTGCCAGCCTATACAAAGATTTTGAAGGAGGTGACAGCCTTGCCTCCCTGGGAACTACTGCTTCCATCATCCCTCACCTCTCTACCAAGTCTGGATGAGTCTGATGGGGAATGGAGTTCCAGCAACATCTAGAAGGCTATAGCTTCTCCAGATCTCTAGTAATAAATGGAAGAGTGTTGCACAGATTGGCAGATGAGTTAAGAGTCTGTCCATCACATAAAAGAATGGGGCCACACGCCATGGGCATCTGGATTGCTCTCACCTCAACTCCATCTGTTCACCCTGCAGGGATTGTGGAAGATTACAAGCCTCCTTTCTTTGATATGGTGCCAGTTGACCCCAGCTTTGAAGAAATGAAGAAAGTGGTTTGTGTTGACCAGCGGACGCCTACCATCCCAAACAGGCTGTTCTCTGACCCGGTGAGTGATACAACAGAAGGGTTAGAAAGAACCACTTTCAAAGTGATGGGAGCAGAGAGGGGAGGTTGGAACTGAACACCTGGCAAAACCCATTTAGCCAGCAATGGGTCTGTGGCATTTTTTGCTTTTCTTGGGAAGAAATAAACCAAGTAAACCCACTGCCCTGAATCCCCTCAGGGAGACAGTGCAGGTTACAAATAAAATATTATTATTAATTATTTGTCACAACTGAGGTAAACCCACTGAATCAATGCCTGAATGCTAAATCAATACTTAGTACGAATTCTGTTGATTCAGTAAGTCTACCAAAAACTGGATTTTTACATGAGACCTCAAAGATATGGGTGGAGCCCCCAGTGGCACAACGGGTTAAACCCTTGGGTCAGCAAGTCTGCTGACCAACAGGTCAGCGGTTTAAATCTGGGGAGCAGAGTGAACTCTTGTCTCTATCAGCTCTAGCTTCCCATGTGGGGACATGAGAGAAGCCTTCCACAGGATGGTAGAACATCAAACATCTGAGCGTCCCCTGTGCAACGTCCTTGCAGACAGCCAATTCTCGCACACCAGAAGCAACTTGCAGTTTCTCAAGTTGCTCCTGACATGAAAAAAAACAAAACAACCAACATCCTTCAAAAACAGGTAATGATGCTAGAAAATGCAATTTAGCAACATGTAAAGGCCTGCATGATTTTGACACTGATTTTTAAATCAAAGAGAGCATTCCATAAAATCATGGACCATGAACATCCAAGTCATGTTACTAACCAGAGAAAAAAACCTAAGGCCCCATCTACATGTAAAATCCAGATTATCTGCTTTGAACTGGATTATGTAGCAGTATAGACTCATATAATCCAGTTCAAAGCAGATATTCTGGATTTTTATGGCAAAGCCTTTAAGACTTTGAGCCATGGATCTTCCTTGGTGCCGCTGCCCAAACTAAACTTCCTCCCCTATATTGTGCAGTGAAGGACACCAGGACCGCCAACAAGGAGACTTACACAATACTTTTGAAAGTGCCAGATAGTCAAAAGGCCCTGGAGCTGTAGCCAGATTCTTCTACCATTTTCTTGGTTAGTCTTCCTTTCTATGCCTCTTTGCTTCAATGCCATAGCAAGTTGACTCCTGCACAATATTTTGGAGAAAAGGTACAGGAATGAATAGAGGAAAGAAGTTGCAGAAATGACTTCTGCCACTGAGTCTCCCACTTGAGTCTTTGTTTTTGATGACCAGAGCAGATCTCTCAGATTGGAATCTGGTAAAACAAGCCATACAGTCAAGGCCTTGAATTTGTACAGTAACACAGCAGCAGTTAAGGAAGGGCTTCTGCAATCACACATGTAGTATCAGTGCAAAATCTGGGGCTGGAGGCAAATTTCTTAGGGGGAATTTCACTCAATTTACCAAATCACAAGAGATGAGAGGAAACACCTGTGGCTATGAAGATAAAAGGTTATAAACACATGTAGGCAGTTCCCGGTGGAACCGCAGAAGCTAAAGGGAGGATGACCAAGACTTTGGGTGGTTAAATGATAGGACTCCAGCACAATGCTGTTCATCTCTTTGCAGCAGCAGGAGAAACTACCCATGGAGGTGGAGGAAGCAAATAATTACTGTTTCCTGCATGTAATTCCAGCTTTTCCTCATGCAGACAAGCCAAGGCATGCCCCTAGTAAGCAATTGATTTTAACAGGGCCAGTTTTTTAAAATGGAAAGAACTTCATAAAGGACCAGAAACTTTGGTGCTGTCCACTGTTAGCCTAGTCAACATAAACTTCAGGGAGGTTTTCTTCTCCCTTGCCATGAACTTGGCTCACACAAGGCAAGGAACATTGGGGCGGTGGGGGGATCTTCATTTTTTTATGCCAGTGTGGGAGATCCAAGTTGTAGTCTTCAATGAGCCATTGCAGCAGCAGCACACACACCCCACCTGCCCAATTACTCTTTCCAACCATGGTTTACCTCTTGAGGCAGTTATAAATAAAGGAAGGCAGCCAGCCAGGAATTTAACATCTTTGAAAGTCTAGGTAGGATTAGCATGGGCTTATCCCAGCCTCTCATAACACAACCCTGCGAGTTCAGTTAGAGGAGGAAGTGATGACTGGCCCAAGAACACCCAACATGCTTCAAGGCTGAATGGAGGTTTTAACCCTGACCCAAGAGTGCCTCTAGTGCTGTTCACACTGAAAGGAGGGGGATAAAGAAGCCCAGTGGACATGCTGGCTGGGAGGTCCTGGGAGCTACAGACCAAAAGGAACTTCCCCAAATTCAGTGTGACGCAGATTAAAGAAGAGTGACTCATAGCAGACTCTAGAGCAGTGGTTCTCAACCTGTGGGTCCCCAGATGTTATGACCTTCAACTCCCTGAAATCCTAACAGCTGGTAAACTGGCTGAGAATGCACAGCAAAACATCCACTGTGATAACGCTTGTCTATGCGGGTGGGGTTCACCATTTATGCTAGTCAAGCCAGTGGTGGAAGGGGCAACAGCAGCATTGTGCTTATTGAGATCTTAAAATGAAAAATTAATTTCCCCTAGAGACTGAGCATGATCCTAAGTGGATGAATATAGTTATTATGGGAACTAAAACTGGGTTGCTGTGAGTTTTCTGGGCTGTATGGTCATGTTCCAGAAGCATTATCTCCTGACGTTTTGTCCACATCTATGGCAGGCATCCTCAGAGGTGGTGAGGTTTGTTGTAAACTAGGCAAGTGAGATTTATATATCTGGGGAATGTCCAGGGAGGGAGAAACATCAGGAGCAAATGCTTCTGGAACATGGCCATACAGCCCAGAAAACTCACAGAAGCCCAGTGATTCCAGCCATGAAAGCCTTCGACAACACATGGAACTAAAATTGCAGCCCATATACCATCACCAGGGCAAATGTAGTGCCAACAGGGTCCTGCAGCACCAACAGCTTCCTATAAGTGCCACAAACACTAACTTTCATGAGTGCAAAGATGTTTATTTGCATATTGTATGTACGTGCAGTTCTAACACGCCAACATATCTTTATGATAAGCAAGCCTGGTTCGGTGCAGTGGTTCCCAGCCTTTGGTCCTCTGTGTGTGTGTGGTTTTTTTTTTACTTGAGTTCCCAGAATTCCTGGCAGTTAGCCAAGGTGGCTGGGTCTTCTGGGAGATGAAGTCCCAAGTACTTGGGGGTCTGAGGTTGGGTTTTGTGGTTTGAGTGCAGGGCTACGAATCCCCACTCAGTCATGGAAACCCACTTGATGATCTTGAGCAATCCACATTCTCTCAGCCTCAGGGGAAATCAAAACAAACTTCTGAACAATCTTGACAAGAAAACCCAGCGATAGGATCAACCTTAGGGTCATCATAAGTCAGAAAGAACTTGAAGGCACACAGCAAAACTATACCTCTACACACACCCTTCAGCCTTTTTAGCAAAACCATAAATCTGCTATAAGTAATCCAAACAATGCATCCAATGAAAATGACAGGGCAAAAACAATTTTTTTCCTCATTTGAGGATGCTAGGGAACAGTGGCCTGGTTTGATAGGTTGTTCCTTTGGGGGAGGGGGGAATAAGTCAGAGCATCACTCCAGTGCAGACAGAAACAATTCTGAAGTATGCCAGCTTGCCATGACACCTGAACATGCCATAATGTTAAGGCTGGGGTTAGCAGTTTATGGTCCTCATGATGCCTTCTTCCTTCGTTGCCTACTACGCTGGTAAGTTCTGATAGGAGTTGCAGACTAATAACATCTGAAGTATCACATATTCCTTGCCTTTACATCCAGTGATCTGGTTTTAATCTCCTTCCGATCCTGATAGCCCCAAGGACAGCACTTTGCTTAAAGTATGGTTCTGCCAGAAAGCACATTTTCTGATCCATAATTCTTTTTCTGGACAATCTTAGAACAAAAGTACTTGCTTCTTCATCCCTTTCAACCATCCATTTCCAGTGAGCTCTTTGCATGATATGCATGCACACTGAGCATGTCTGTCGGGTCCCTGCTATACTGCCATATAAAACCCAGGTTATCTGCTTTGAACTGGATTATATGGCAGTGTAGACTCCTACAATCAATTTCAAAGCAGGCAATGTGGATTTTCTGCTTTGAGAATCTGGATTATATTGTAGAAGGGGCCTCAAATATTCTCCATACTCTACGAAAGCCTGAAAAATCATGGGGTAGTGTAGTCAAGCATGATACCATCATAATGAATGCTAAGAGAGTGCAGGAGTAGTCATCCAAACCCCCTCGATGGACTGTCACCTTGTTGTGGTGAGGGGGCTTGCGCGTTCCAATGAACCTGTAGGCACAACAACTGGAGTCGTGCACTCCCAGGAGTGGCTGCGGGGGAGGTTCCAGACCAAGCACAGTCCGAAGACCCAAAGACCTCAACGGCGGAGCAGGCGGAGGATAACATGGCACATGTTACAACGGCTGCGAAGGCGGAAGAAGGCTGCAACAGACTGAGAAGCCACGGTCATTGTGTTAAACTACATCACCAGTGGAACCTCACTCTGTGAAGTCTGTGTGTGTTGATCAGTTGTGCACTGACCTCCACACATTAAAAAAAACCACGCACAGGCGTCTTCCAAAGAAAATAAAAACAAACCAATCCATGGAGATTAGCGAGTGGCGACGGGGGCAGGACTGTGAAATCTGGAAGCCCCTAGTCACAGACTGGCACATGGGCGGTGGATACGGACTCAGTCGTTCTACCTCAAGGTCCGAGGCAGTTGAGTAGTTCGGCAGCTGTATCCACGACTGAGCAGCCCTATTGAGGACCCCTCTGCTCACCCCACATGGGGAGGGGGCTAGAAAAGGTGCCCTAAACATAGTCTGCCTCACTTATCCCTGACTGGACTGCCGCGTCCAGTGGGGTCACCACCCTGCGGCCAAAAAAGGAAAATGAACTTCGGTACGTGGAACGTACGGACTCTGATGGAGTCCTGTTCCAGCAGTCGCCAGCCAATCCCTCTCCAATGCCAGTAATACAACTTAATGGTGTCACATTAGAAAATGTGGACCATTTCCGCTACCTTGGCAGCCACCTCTCCACCAAAGTCAACATCGACGCCGAAATACAACACCGCCTGAGCTCTGCAAGTGCAGCATTTTCCAGAATGAAGCAGAGAGTGTTTGAGGACCGGGACATCCGTAGGGATACCAAGGTGCTTGTTTATAAAGCTATTGTCCTCCCAACCCTGCTATATGCCTGTGAGACGTGGACTGTCTACAGACGTCACATGCAGCTCCTGGAACGTTTCCATCAGCGCTGCCTCCGGAAAATCCTGCAAATCTCCTGGGAAGACAAGCGGACAAACGTCAGTGTGCTGGAAGAAGCAAAGACCACCAGCATTGAAGCGATGGTCCTCCAACATCAACTCCGCTGGGCCGGCCACGTTGTCCGGATGCCTGACCACCGTCTCCCAAAGCAGTTGCTCTACTCCGAACTCAAGAACAGAAAACGGAATTGGTGGACAGGAAAAGAGATTTAAAGATGGGCTCAAAGCCAACCTTAAAAACTCTGGCATAGACACTGAGAACTGGGAAGCCCTGGCCCTTGAGCGCTCCAGCTGGAGGACAGCTGTGACCAGCAGTGCTGCAGAATTTGAGGAGGCACGAGTGGAGGGTGAAAGAGAGAAACGTGCCAGGAGGAAGGCGCGTCAAGCCAACCCCGACCGGGACCGCCTTCCACCTGGAAACCAATGCCCTCACTGCGGAAGAAGATGCAGAGCAAGAATAGGGCTCCACAGCCACATACGGACCCACAAGGAAATCCATAATGGAAGACCATCTTACTCGTCCAACGAGGGATCGCCTAAGTAAGTAAGTAGTCATCCAAACATCTCTTAAGGCAAAAGGTTTTCCACATGCTCACAGTACACATATTGGAGAGGACAAGGACCAGATGCAGGGGCCACTGAACCTGCCCTTTCTTTAAACCAGGGGTCCTCAAACTTTTTAAACAGAGGGCCAGGTCACAATCCCTCAACTGGATTGGACAGCCAAATTATAATTGGAAAATAACATGAATTAATACTATGCATGCTGCACATATCTTATTTGTAATGCAAAAAACACTTAAAAACAATACAATAATTAAAATGAAGAACAATTTTAATAAATATAAACTTATTGGTATTACGATGGGAAGTGTGGGCCTGCCTTTGGCTGATGAAATAGGATTGTTGTTGTTGTTGTGTGCTTTCAAGTCATTTCAGACTTAGGTTAACCCTGAGCGAGGGCTGGGTAAATGACCATGGAGGGCCATATCCGGCCCCCGGGCCTTAGTTTGATGACCTCTGCTTTAAAACTTGCTTAAAATCATGCTTTAAAAGTCTTCTAAAGATAATTGCCCTGAGAAATTGTCCATAGGCATAGAGATGGCCCCAAAGCTGCACTCACTCAGCCAACTAACTAAACTAAACAGAAAATAAAAATCCTCCTACTCACATTAACTAAATCTTTTTGTCTACAGAGATAAAACTCCCTCAAATAGTTTAAAACCTCAGAGAGAAAGGGTCAGGGAATAAACAGCTAGCTGTCACATGGCTCTCACGCAATGCATTAATTTTCCCCTTCTGACCCTCCCTTTGGAGAGGATCTTGTGCAATTTGATTTCCTGGCTCCATACATAGCAATGTACATTATTTCTTTTTTTTCTCCAGGCCTTTTTTTTTTTTGTCCTTAGGAGTTGAAAGAACAAAGTCCTTTTTTGAAACCTCAGAAAGCTGCACATACCCAGTGAGACTTTGGGTCCATCTAAACCAACATGGTCTCTACAAGAAATGCATGGAAAGCGAGGGGGGAGTGTTTGTTTCCTAGATGTTGTTGGACTGTAGCTCCCATCAGTCCTAGCCAGCTTTGACAGTGATGAAGAGCGATGGGAGTTGGGGTTCTACTTCCCTGAAATGATTTTGTTTTTATGTGACATTAATGTTCTCTTCTTTCCTACCCTCCACCTGTCTTTCCAGACTTTGTCTGCCTTGGCTAAGATCATGAAAGAATGCTGGTTCCAGAGTCCCCCGGCCAGACTCACGGCACTGAGGATTAAAAAGACACTGAAAAAACTCAGCAATTCCTTCGACAAACCCAAACAAAACGCCTAACTGTGGGGACCGGCCCTGGGACCAGAGATCAAGTTTCTGATTCATTAGTTCAGCAAGGAAGTTCAAGGTCACCCACCTCCCACTTCACTTTCCAGCCACTGGCCTTGCTGACTGGGGTCAATGGGGCTGCAGCAGCAAGCAAGCAGACCTCGCCTGAATTCTGGGCAAGAGGAATTGGGCTATGAGCCCTCAGGACTGGGATTGATCCTTTGCAGGGAAATTGCATGGAACAGATGACGGGCTTCGGTCCTCCTTAATTTGTTTTCTCTAACAACAAAAGGGACCGGGAAACACCAGCTTCCCTCCTCCTCTTTCTCTCTCAGAACATATATTAATATAAATACCCCCTGGATCTGTAACCTGACGCCAGTCGGTCTCGCCACCAACGCCTGAAAAAATGGGAGGGATCCTACTTGGAAAGAGCACAGCTGCTCTGCCCAAAGGGGTGCTGCCTTGGAAACACCAGTTAAGAGTCATTCATAAGCTGGTTTCTCTCCCTCCCTCCCTTTTCTAAAAAAGATTGGGTATGTAGGATCTGCTTGTGTGTGTTCAAATACTGCTTGCATGTCTGCATGTGTACAAACAAGAGGGAATACAGATTGCAAGGCTCCTACTTGTCAGATCAGACCAGATGTGCATGTATGCACAGGTTTATGCCACAGCAATCTTAGATGAGAAAGCACATTTGCAGAGATATAAACAAAAACTGGAGTACTGGAGTTCAGAATTCAATGGTAGTCACGTTGTCTGCAAGCAAAAGGCAAGCTCCGCTGACAGAATACTGGAATCTGGTGGAACCAGGAAGGGGGAGGGTGCCACTGCCTTCCCAAAATTGCCTGCAAAAATCTGGGAAATCCCTTGTAGGTGTGTTGTTGTTTTTGGCAGCAGAAATGGCTGCAGTGTGAAGGAATGGGAAGAACGTTCTGTGGTGCCAACTGTCTGAATAATGCTGGATTGAACCTGTGTTTTCTGCCATGGCTGAACTCAAGGGCAACATGTCTGGGGTTTCAAGGTGGCCGCAGATCAGATTCAGCCCATCTTCACTTTGGAAAAAAAACCCCTGTGTGAGTTGCTTTCAACCCTGTGCTGGTGTAATGTGGTCACATTAGAGGAGCTGAGGCCTATTGGTGTAGGAACCTCACTGATTATGTGCTGCTCAATTCAGGCTGTAGCAACCCGTACAAGTAAGCCTCCCGTACAAGTAATCCGGGAAGAGCGTGGATGAGCTCCCTCTGTCAGCTCCAGCTCCCCATTGCAGGGACATGAGAGAAGCCTCCCACAAGGATGGTAAAACATCAAAATATCCAGGCATCTCCTGGGCAACGTCCTTGCAGATGGCCCATTCTCTCAAACCAGAAGCGACTTGCAGTATCTGAAGTCACTCCTGACGTGAAAAAAAGGCTCTAGGAAAATCTTTAAAAGGCAACAAAGTAGTTGTAACAATTTGTATTTCCACCAGAGGAAGGTTTTTTGAAATGGTAATGGCTCTTAATTGCACATTCAAAGCCAAGCCCCTCCCCTCCCCCCAATGTATTTTTTGCATTAGAAGAGGGATAACTCATAATCACATAAAAGCGAGGAAGGGGTGGAGAGAGAGGAATGCAGTAACACATTTATGACTCACTGCTTTTTTTAACAGGACTTTTCCTGAATATAAAATCACTTCTTTAGATGCAGTACAGAGAAGAAACAGCACAAAAGCTCATGCTAAAATAGAAACCAATCACGTCTTAAAGGTGCTGCTACGCTGCTCCTTTTCATGTCTGCAAGAGATTAACAGGGCTACTTCTTCAAAAACCGCAAGCACACAGTGTTCCTGGGGTAATTCATTTCTCTCCTCCCTCAACAATCTACTATGAAGACTACAGTTAAGATCAAGGGTACTAAGAAAATGGGAAGGGGAGGTCAGAGCTTGGAGAGGTTTCTTTGTTTGGAGAAGGATGGTTAGGAGCTGTAATCCCAGCTCCTGAGTAGGGCGATAATGTCACCATCCCTGCTAGGCAAAATACTTTTGCTACTCCTTTTCTAGGAGGCTTGGTTCCACTCTGCAACTTAGTGGCCATGCTAACCAGGACTCGAGCGGGAGACTGGCAGGGAATACCTTGTGTCCATCATGAGAGAAGGCTGGAAAATAAAGGTCACAAACTAGAATCACAACCTGCACCAAGAAAACCATGGTTAAGACAGATTCCCCCTTTGTCCATTTTTCTGATCTATATCTTTCACCACTAGGATTTGGCTCAGCAAACTAAATCACGATTTAATTGGACATTTGGAATTGACCCAGATTCAAGCAACATGTCATGGTTAAACTATGATTACGGTAGCCTTGTGGCATTTTGAGAAGCAAGGCTTATGAAATCCCAAAAGATATAAGACCTTATGGGGTGGATTCAAGCAATGAGCTTTTTACAGCCTGTATGGCATAGAGGTTTGAGTGTTGCACTACATCTCTGGAGACCATTTTTGAATCCTCTTTCAGCCATGGTAACTCACTGGCTGACCATGTGTGTTTGCATAGGTTTGTCTGTTTATCAGTCATCTGTCTCTATCTATTGTCTGCCATGTGCCTTCAAGTGGGCTGTCAGCTTGTAGTGAGTCGGCCCCATGAATTTAATTTGATTTTATGAGGCAAGGAATCCTCACAGCTGATCTTTCCAGCTCCTCCCTCTGAAATATACCCTACTACGCATGGTATTTCTTGGTGGTCTCCCATTCAAGTACCAACCAGGGTTGATTATGGCCCCTTCTACACTGCCATATAACCCAGATTATCAAAGTAGATAATCCACATTATCTGCTTTGAACTGAATTATATTAGTCTACACTCATATAATCCAGTTGAAAGCAGATAATCTCGACTTTATATGGCAACGTAGAAGGTGCCTCTGCTTTCAAGATCAGCCAAGGTGACTTTCAGTCCATTTCCTTCAGCCTCAGAACAAAAGCAGAACCCCTTTGAACAAATCTTGCCAAAAACCCCTGTGATTGGACCACCTTAGGGTTGATATAATTTGGGCATGACCTGAAGGCACAACAAGGAAGGCAACTATTCTGAAAAAGGGAAGTAATAATGGTGGAAGGTGAGTATTCACAGGAAAAAAATGAAGCATTAATGGGAAAGCTATGGTAAAATTGTGTGTCAGTATATTCAGTACGCCTACAAGTTGTCTTTTTCATCTCCAGGGAATTAATCTTCTTGTCTTAAACTTTTCAGAAACATTTATACTTGCACATAATGTACCCATGACAAAGCAACCAAGTACACCTGAGTGAAAAATTTGTAATCCCAATTCACCATAGAGGCTCCAAGGTTGCTTTTCAAATGTCATTATTTTGCACAGATGTTATATATATATATATATTTATTAAATATGCACCAGAAAAAGTCATCCACTATTTTTCATGTGTGTGTGTGTATATATATATAAATGTTTTATTCTGCATATGAATCAGTGTACTTATGCAAATATGTGAAGGGGGGAAAGAATTACAGGGAAGTGCTTCTACTTAGGGTCTTTCACAGTTTAAATTATAGGGTTTTGTTTCAGGAAGAGAACTATTAACATGAGGCCATGGGGTGTTGTGTAAGGGTGAGGCTTACAAGGGTAGAAAGATTAAAGGAGTAGGGAGAAAAAGAATTTTTTAAGAATCCGGAGGAGAAAAAAACAAACTCCACCTACAAGATGCATAATCCCATTAAAGTCAGTGGAACTGAGGCACCTTAACTATTTCTTGGTAGGCAGTTGTTTACCTGCTCACCGCTAGCAAGTAAAAATTCTTCAAAGAAATGTCACAATAATTGATTCCCCTTTTTTTCCAGTGACTAACAGAATTTTTTAGAGAAGTGGACCAGCGAAACAAATTGTGAGCTAGTACATTCTGCTGAAATATTTGCTGAGCTGGTCAACCAAAATCTATAACTGAGTTAGAATTTGAACACATGAGTCCTACTGGATGACGTTATGGCATATTTTAATCTTTGGGATTTGCCACCACAAATTTTCACAGCTCAATTTATTTATACCCTCCCTTTCTCCTGATCCTTCCTGCACCTCTAGGAAATAGAATGCAAGGCTCCAAAGTCCAGAAAATTCTGTCCCAATAAACATATTTTAGATGCACTTATGTGACAGTACACTATCACAAAAAGTACAGTGAAACTACAAAAGGCATGTCTTTTTACAAATACGTGTATCTTACAGTTATATTTACAGATGTGGGTTAATATGTCTATCCTTCAGCTCTATTAATCAGGGACACAATATTGGCTGATCTCTCCCTCAACTACCCACTTACAAAAAACCCAGATTTTCTCCTATCTCATGCATATAAATACAAATAGGAGCATGTGTGATTGGGATCCTAACTCTTTTTTTTTTTTAAGCGATACATCTTCCTCTTACGGCTAATCTCTCTGGAAAAGAACAGAAACTCCTAACAAAAGATTGGAAAGAAACCCCATTATTGATGTCACAAGAGCAATGCTTTGGTAGTGGGAGAACCTAGGATTAGCAAACAGAAGCCTCAGATAAAATTTATGAGAAAGACTCCTATCTTAAAAGTCGGAAAACTCCTAGTTAGCATAGAGATCAAAGGCTGTATTACAGAAACTAGTGGTTCGAATGGGGCTATTTTTTTAAAAAAAAAAATTGCATAAGAGCCTGGAGAAGTTACTTATAGGACTACAGCTCCTAGTATCCTCCAGCCAGCATAGCTGCTAACAAAACTGCTTCATGCATCAGCAAAACATGAAGAAGGGGTACATAGTCAGATGATACAGAGGATGCACTAAAGATGGGAAGTAATGTAATAGACACTCAGTAGGGAACTCTCAGATTTCAATCTATGTTCCCAAGAGGTCAACAGCTGTGTAGTTTTACAACCAATGGTTTGCAATCTGCAAGCTATTGCAATCAAGAGATGTGTGTCCAAAATATTACAACTGGCTCCATGTTTTATTTTTATTACTCGGGGAAGCTCTGAGTTCCACGTGGCTTTAGCTGGGTGTTTTATTAAGCTGTGGGTGAATAAGTATTTGTGCATTAAAAGGCCAATCAGTTTTCCAGCACCCAAAAGTATATGTTGGACTGAACCACAAAATAGCATGTAGATAAGGCAGTGAACCTTGGGGTGCATTTACCCCTCAAGAGCTTTGTTCTATACAATTTACTATCAACACCATGCCCTCCCTGGGTAGTGTATATTGGCACAGAAGCTCTGCAGTTATCTTTATTCAGAGGTTTGTAGATGCAAATCAATAACACATGTGCCTAATAGCTCTGTGTATTCAAAACAGCTCTGATTGGGAGAAAGTAAACATAAATCATCTGATGAACTGGAAGACAGCTCTCCTGTGCAGACTGTAAATTCAGGGACAAGTCTCAGACGAAGCTAAATATGGAATGGTTAGAAACCCTCTCGTCTCCATAGCCACTGGTGCTGATACAAGCAAAAGCCTGCTCAGCTGCAGGCAAAGAAATTTAGGTTAAAAAGGAGGGCAGCTCTGATTTAGCACAACAATTGTGCTCTTGTCATGGGTATTGAAGTGCAAATCTCAAAGCTATCTTTACAGCATGTATGCATTTTCTTTGCACACTGCACTTACCAACATCTGGATTATATCTGCATCCGCGCTTTCGTGTTTGGCACTCTAACAAACATAGATTGTGTTCAGAAGTCTCGGGAATTCTGGCTTGTTGATGAACCTGTCTGCTGGGGTATGGAGTACTGATAGCTCTCACTTACAGCAATAGTGTCTTAATAAGCCATGGATTTGTACTTGTGCTTTCTTTAGAGAGAGTGGGAAAAACATGGGGCAGAAGTGGCTCTTGCCCATCTTGATCTTGAGCCATCCCCAGACCAACCCCTGTCCCCAGGACAAAATTGAATTACCTCAAAACAAGGAGACATACTCTTGGAAATCCCTAAAAAAACAAATTATCTAAATCACAGTACTAGTTGTGGCCCGAGTTGTGTGGTGGCGGAGGAAGTTTACCCTTATTTGTGCAACACCAGATGTGAACTTCCTATCACTTTCATTTTTGCAAAGAAAGACCAAAGGTGGAACCACTATTGTGTGAAAAAACATGTTCTAATCCAGGAGGAAGTGACACTTTGGTATGTTTCTCTCCCCAAAAGCCAGATAACAAATCTTCTGCTTTGGAGCAATTTGAAGGCTGGAGGGAGGAACTTTTGTTTAATTAAAATGTGATAAACACATATTTGATCCATCATTTCCCCCCCTTCCACTGCATATAGGAGCAATCAAGCTCACTTACTTAGGTGAGCCCTCGTAGCTCGAGGGTAGTCTTCCAGATGTGGTGTCTTTGTAGTGGCTGTGGAGCCCTATTCTTGATCCACATGTTCTCCCGCAGTGAGGATATTGGTTTCCAGATGGTCAGAGTTGGCTTTACACGCCTTCCTCTTGGCACATTTCTCCCTTTCACTCTCCATTCGTACCTCTTCAAATTCCACAGCACTGCTGGTCACAGCATGTTCTAACAAATTGAGCCACTGAACTACATAGATCAGTGGTTCTCAACGTGTGGGCCCCCAGATGTTTTGGCCTTCATTTCTCAGAAATCCTAACAGCTGGTAAACTGGCTGGGATTTCTGAGAGTTGTAGGCCAAAACACCTGGAGACTCACAGGTTGAGAACCACTGACATCGATTATTTTACCTGGTATTTCAAACCACCGTATATCCGTAGCCAAAAAGTGTAACTCAACTATAGTGCAGTGGACCTTTGGTATCTGCTAGGGTTTGGTTTTAGGGCTAGTTGTGAATACCAAAATCCATGGGTGCTCAAGTCCCATTATATACAATGCTGTACTAAAATGATGTCCTTTATATAAAATTGCAACATTAACCTTTACTTTTGGAGTGGGGTGAGAGTTAAACATTTTCAAGCAATAGATTATTGATTATAGGGACTGTATTACATAAATTCTTCGGATACATGCAGCATTGGCATTTGCATTCATTGTTTATGTTCAAATATCCAGTAATAATTTGATATGAGGAATATGTTAGTTCAGATCTTAGCTTATTTTTTACCATTATTTCATACTACAAGAAATAGCCTTAGGAGAATCACTGAGTGTGGTTTAACCATTCCAACAACCATGTACACAGACACACACTTAATGCAGAATATCCAGAACTAGAATAAGCCCCAAGGAAGGGTTGTGGAGCCCCTGATTGAATCCCCTCCTGACCCCAGAAAACCCACCATACCCATGCAAATAGCTCCCATTGTTTAATGGCAAAAATGTACTTCGTGGTCCGAGTATGTCCATCACTTGGCAGGATTTTCCAGTTAAATTAGAGAAATATGCAGCTTACATTAGTCACTCCTTTGATTTTCCATGTTCAGTGATTGATATCTCCTTTTTTGGATCTTTCTAGTTCTTTTTTTAACAAGCCAAGGAGGGCTGTAATTGAACTTACTTAAGAGTAAGTCTGTTTTAATTCTGTAGAAACTAACCCCAGTCCTGTTACTGGAATTGGAAGCCACACCCCAAATGTGAGATCCACATGCAGAACCAACATCAGTTAGAACTTTATAATTTATTTCTCCAGATGCACATTGTTAGTGCTCTGTACCATCTGAATGCTACTCTCACCATGCACATGAAAATTGCTCATTAGTTCACATCAACTTCTTGAGAATTGTGGCAGATGCTGCGCTACCCAGGTTTCTGGAGTTGTGTGGCTTCCATATAATGACTCCATCTTTAAGTTGTTACTGATCACATTGTAACTTTAATTAATATTTAGACTAAAGGCTAGTGAAGATTCACTGCTAGTTCTATCATGGGAGCTCTGAGCTACTAATATTCATGGCAATCCAAATATGTTAGGTATCATCTTATGAAATCTCTACAGAGGAATAAGGAAGACTAAGGAAATAAGGCCCAATTACTGGTCTTGGTTTCATCTCTCGTGATGGTTTAGCACAGAAGTGGGAATATATGGACCCACAAATTCCTTGGCCTCCAGTTCCTATAAACCTAGTACATCTAAGGAATTGTGAGCAGTTTAATACTCAAACAAAGTTTAACAGAATAAATAATAGTAGTAGTAGTAGTAGTAGTAGTAGTAGTAGTGATAGTCACATTGAGGAAAAACAACAGGAAAAACTCAGCCGTTATCAGGACCTCAAAATCAAACTGCAAAGGCTCTGGCATAAACCAGTACAGGTGGTCCCAGTAGTGATCCGCACACTGGGTGCTGTGCCAGAAGATCTCAGCCAGCATTTAGAAACAATAAACATTGACAAAATCGCGATCTGTTGACTGCAAAAGGCCACCCTACTTGGATCTGTGCACATCATTCAAAAATACATCACACAGTCCCTTGAGAAGTGTTTAACTTGTGATTTTGTGATACGAAATCCAGCATATATATCTCGTTTGCTGTGACATACTGTGTTTTTGTGTTAGAATGATGATAATAATAATAATAATAATAATAATAATAATAATAATAATAAAAATTATTTGTATGCTGTCCTATCTCCCCAAGGGGACTCACGGCAAATAATGGAGAAACATCAAATGTCAAAAATTTGCAAAAAATATCCAAGCTGTACAATCTAGTCCTTCTGATGCAAAATTGCCTTTGGAAAGTATTTTGTGGATAGCTTTTAATTTAGCGAGTCAGGCTTGCAGACCTCAGAAATTACTGTAAAATTCACTGTATAAACAGAACATACCATGGACTCTTGCACTGCATCACCCAAGCCCTTATCAGTCAATTCACTTCAGAATGTAGGAGTTTCCTGTTGATAAGAACAACAAATAGGATGGGGGTTGGGAGAGGAAAAGAAGGAGGAAAGCCAGTCAGAATGAAAGAACACTGGCCAAAGATGTTGATGAAATGACCCTAACGTTTGATTCTCCGATAAAAATGCAGATGGTGCAATGACATTTCCTGGAATATGTGATTCTCCTCTCCCTGTTACTGATTCCAGTAATGTTGCAAAATATTATAAAGTACCCAGAATGGAAGTGAACTATTAGATAAAATCATGTTGCTTAAAACCTAATCCTGACAGAAGTGGCCATGTGCTTGTGCTTTGAGGGCGGAGTGTGTGTCTGGATGGCAATCTGAAGGCCTGCCTAATGATTGCAGTCAATAATCTCTCTCTTTCACTTGGAAAGCCAATGTGATCAGTAAACAACCCCAAGACTGGTTAGCAAATATGTTAAACAAATAAAACAACAGGGAAAATAGCTTACTGATTTTAGTTCTGATAATATTAAGTGCTAGAAACTATCTTTATTTGCTTAGTGAACTTCTATTCCAGCCTCCCTGCCCCTAGATTTCAAAAGCCACAGGATAAGAAAAAGCATATACAGATTTTGAATGCAGATAGGTTTAACATATTTGTACAAAACATACATGATTGTATACCTACAAATGTGGTCCAATAACTACACATCCTATAGCTACACAGGTGAATTTTCCTGTCTCATCTTGTTCAGAGTATATATTCTGAATATAGCACCCTTGGCTGAAAGGAACCTAAAGGCTTTTATAGATTCCAATCCAGTTCCCTATCTCTTAGGGCCCTTCCACACAGCCATATAATCTAGAATATCAAGGCAGATAATCCACTATCTGCTTTGAACTGGGTTGTCTGAGTTCACATTGCCATATAATCCAGTTCAATGTGGATTTTATCATCTGTGTGGAAGGGGGCTTGGGCAGGATTTTCTGTTACTACTTCAATGTGAATTCAAAACAGGGCTCTCCCCTTTCCCCCTTTATCATAAGACAATGAGGTAAGGTAGACAGAGAGCAAGTGACTGGCCAAAGGTTACCCTGCGAGTTGAACCACTCCATAGAGCAACGGTTCCCAATCTGTGGTCCATGGACCACCAGTGGTCTGCAAGAACTAAAATATGGTCAGCAGCCTCACTGTTACTACAACGTTGCAATGAGAGCGACTGGTCTTGTGAAACCCTCTTATATTTATTTTATTTTTTTATTTATTTATTTATTTATTTATTTATTTATTTATATGCCACTTTTCTCACCCTGAGGGGGACTCAAAGCAGTTTACATAAGCGGTTATTGCTTATGTTTTTTAATTTGCTTTGTATCGTATTGTTATTGTCTGTTGTTGTTGTGTTGAGGCCTTGGCCTTTGTAAGCCGCATCGAGTACTTCGGGAGATGCTAGCGGGGTACAAATAAAGTTTAATAATAATAATAATAATAATAATAATAATAATAATAATAACACATAGATAATGGCAAAAATTCAATGCCTTACAACTACAACAGTAAAACCACACTTTAAACATAAATCATATTAAAAAGAGTACATCATCAGTACATGCTGAGGCTTATTAAGTATGCTTTTCTGTGGGAGAGCAGGTGGTGACTATTGGATGGCATATGTTCTGTATCAGAAATTAGAGCTGATGTGGTCTATCCAATGCAATTTTCGGAATCAACACCCCAAATAACCAAACTGAATCTAAAGCTGACCAAAAACTGATTCGTAACCCTTTTGGTACTAATGTTGGAGAGCGGTCCCTGGTCAAGTGGTTCCTGGTCAAAAAAGGTTGGGAACCACTGCCACAGCAACAAGTACCTGGCATTCCATTTTCCAGCCCAACACTAACCAGTACGCAATGGTGGCTCTTTGGCAGAAGGGCACACCTACTGCTACTATACTATTGCTTATGAATAACTTCTCAGTTCTATACCTCCTTACTTGGGAATAAGCTCCACTGATTGTAGTGTGTCTGACATTGAATAGGAATGTAGAGAATTACATTCTGAGTCACTTATTATAGGTTTAATGAAAAAACTCTGTCTTGCAACTCCACTTTTCATCCTTGTTACCTCTGTGAAAATGACTTTTTCTTAAAATGACAGGCGGGACTAACAGGAGCACTAGGTGCTACAGTCCAAAACAATCCCCCATTTTCCTTGGTCTGCTTCTTCCTGCCTCCCGCTCCACCCAGGGCTGGGCAGCTGACTACTGTTTTCACTAAGCAGGTGGTGTCAGGTTTCAGGATTGTCACAGCCACTCCAAAACAAAGAACAGCAATAGTTCAAGCCTCACCATAAGCCTACAGCATTTAGACTGAAAGCAAGAGGACCATATAAAACCCCAGATGCACAGTGAAGGTATAGTTGCTGTGTCCAGTTGACTTGCAATATTATCACACCAGGGCTTTAAAGCTGGCAGCCCCGCATTTCTGCCACCTGCAGAGTGCTGGAAAATGTAATTTGGGAAAGCGAGGATTTCTATAGCTGAGAATTCAAAAGTCCCCGCCCTAAACTACATTTTCCAGAATTCTGCAAGCAGCAGAAATACAGGGCTATTCACCTTAAAGCCCTGGTGTGATTGGTGTATCCATAGTTAGCAAGTATGATACTTAGAAGATGGAAGGCATGCTGTCTGTCACCAGGAGACCACCTGAAATCCAGCCAACTTAGCAGAACATGCTAAGCTTAAACTCCATTGGTGTGTCTCCAAAAAAACCAAACACACAAAAAAAACCACAGGACTTCCATCCCATAACAAGGTAGCAGAGTTGGGAGATACACAAATAATACCTTAAGATTATAGCTATCCCATGTATGTGCAGGGAGTGGGTTCCTGAACTTACCATGGAAAAAAGAAGCTATAGATAATCCTACATCACCCCATTGAAATTAACAGTTTATTATTATTATTATTATTATTATTTCGAAGTTTTCTATACCGGCCTTCTCAACCTCGACGAAGGACTCAGGTCGGTTTACAGCATATATAAAGTACAATCATATAAAAGAACAACAAGTGCAGATCATTACATATTAAAATAGTACAATACAGTACAATAACAGCTCCGCTAGAAGTTATCATAGGGCCATAATAGAGCAGGCATGAGCAAACTTCGGTCCTCCGGGTGTTTTAGACTTAAACTCCCACAATTCCTAACAGCTGGTGGACCAAGAAAATTCTTACAGCGGTGTCCTCCCTAGGAATTTGCTAGTCCCTCCAAAACAAGTCTGTTGGAGCTCAGCCTGGGATTGTGTTTCAGGATCAGGGTGCTTTGGATGTGGGGAGTGATGTCAATGAGTTTCAAGATGGCAATGGTTTAGTCAATGATATTGATGCAGAGAATGATCAGGAGATCCCTGTTCAAGTGTAGTTTCCCATGAGAACGTCCCTGAAGGGTGTGGGGATGATGGTGTGCTCCCTGAATTGCTACCAGAGAATTCCCATGACTTGAAGCCTGAAAACAGCTCGGCACCTGGTCAAGCTTCAGAAATTAATGAGCAAATAGATAGATGGGAGGAGAAAAGTCAAAACAGAAAAGCTGAACAGTGGCTTCGGCGTTCTGCTAGGCTCCGAGAGAAAAAGATAAGAGATTCACAGCTAAAGAGAAACCATTTTCAGAGTGCTTGGAACGTAGCTAATGAGGGGATAAAAGTCCCAAGTACAGGATATGTAGTCAGATGAAGCATCATTTGGAATCAAGACCTCGTTCTAGTTTCATGGAAGCCTTGCCCAGAAGATTAATGTTTAAGTGCCTTTTGTTTGATGGTTCTGATTCTTGGATTCTATGATTTTATATTCATGCCTTGGATTCATGTTTCCTGGTGTTTTGTTTTGTTTTGTTTTGGATTTTATTAGAGAAGTTTTGACTTTGTTTGCATGGACTTTGTTGGATTATTTTCCCTGGACTACTTTGTTCCTGATTATCTTCGTACCTAATTGGATTTATCTATTTCTTTAAAGTGCTTTTTACTTTACTGCTTTCTAATTATCTTCAATAAAAGGATTGTTTTTCCTACTCAACAGTGTGGTGTTTAAAGTCAGAGGGCTTTTTCCTGTTCTGGAGGGCAACAAAGTCTATGGAAACCACCATCAGAAGCATAGCATAGAGTCGTCTGGAGGACATATTTTAGAGAGGACATATTTTGTCAGATGAAACCTTTACCACTGTCATCATCCTCTAATCAAAAGGAGAAGGGAGGAGAAAGAGAAGGGAAAAAAGGAGAAGAGAAGGAAGAAGAGGAGGGGGAGGAAAGAGGAAGAAGGAGGAGGAGGAATAGGAGAAGAAATAACTAGCTTCATCTTCCATCATAATGGGAAGAGCTATCGAAAAATCCCATGATTCTTTAGGGAGGACCACTGCATATTTTATCAGCATTGACCTAGCTTACATCCTCATTAACACTATCCCTGGCTCATGCACTGATGCAACCAAGTTCTGTAGATGTAGACAAATGTCTGCACAACCACAACAGAAAGGAAGAGAACAAATCTGTACTTTTGTGTGAATGATCAGAACCACTTTCACTCCCTGGAGTGTTCTTATTTTCCAGCCATTCTTTATCTGCAGTCTGTACATCTCTTGGCAAGGGCCCAGCAGCTGGACATGCTCTCCTTGCTTTAAGCTTTGGAGGCCTGGTGTAACTCTGTCCAAGCGCATGAGCACACGCAAGCAGGCAGGCAGACCAGGAATTCCATAAGTGAATCATGAGCTGAGCCTTCAGAAAGAATGTAAGATGGGGGATTTTCTTCAAGTCTGGAATGCAACTGCCCCAGCAGCACATATGCTCCCCAGGGGACCCATAGCACAGCACTTGTGTGCCATGGCAGAAAGGAGAAACAGATCTTAGTCTCTCTATGTTTATTGTACAACCAGGCATATTTTAACTAGGATCTCACATGGATTTTACCCCTCTAGGGAGCCACCAGCACCAGGATTTGGAAGGTGGTTCTCAAGAGAGAGGCTTACACCACTCTGCTGAGCTGCATTTAGAAAGATCCTCTGCCTGGTTTAAAAATGCTGGGGTCTGAAAATAGCTGTTCAGACTTAGGGGTATCCAGTGTCATTGTGTCTGAGTTTCATATAGAGCCAGCAATGCAGGAAAGCTTTAAACGAGTATTTAAATTCACATGCATGAGAAGAGAGGGAAATCTTCAATCTCCTGCATCTGACTTCACTGGAAATGTAAGCTTCCCCAAGCTTAGGGTTTAACAGCAAAGAAATATATCTATACCAAGGCCAGGGGTGCATTTACATTGCAGAATTAATCCAGATTGACATCACTTTGACTGCCGTGACTCAATGCTATGGAATCATGGGGGTTGTACAGAGCTGGTGCCTCTTTTCTAGCTTTCACTTCCAAAGATTGCTGTTGTATCCTCAAACTACAACTCCCATGATTCCATACCAATCAGTGGTGTCAAACTGCATTAATTACACAGTGTAGATGCATCCTAATCCTTCATGTAGACAAACTGTTTTCAAGCTGTGTGTTGACTGGAGTGCCCGGGTGTGTCACATGATTGAATTTTCATTGGTTGATTACATTGTGTTGTGGAAATTACACGTCTAAAAGTGTGCCTCCAACATGAAATATCTGGAAAGCTCTGGTGTGGATGAGGCAATTAAAATGAATCACTATCACTACTACTACCAGGTTATGAAGTGTGGCAAACTGTCTCCTAGTTTTAAGTAATGTTTACATTGCATTTTTGTACCTGCTATGTACATGATGCAAGTCTTATCCCCAGTCCTCCAGTCTGCTCCATATCTGACTCAATGTGCAAGCGCATATCCAAAAGAGTATCATTGAGGCAGCAGAATTCATCCTACAATAAATATGAGAATAGCATAATGAATGTTACAATTTGCGTATAAAACATGTGCACATTACTGGATTTTCCTACACACAGGTTTTCTTTACACATTCATAATCTTCAGCTCTTGACTACTAACACCAAATTACAACTTACATTTGGAGCTTAGAAAAATTACTTTTTGGCCTAATACTACGAGAATCCCCACAGGCCCTTGCCATGCTGCTTGAGAGATTCTGGGAATTAGTCCAAAATTAAGTGAAACGGCAAGCCTCTTTTGCGAATAGGCCATCAGAGTAACAAGAAACTTTCAGGTCACCTGTTGTCACACACAAAAAAGGTATAACTCCTTTTAATAAAAGCAATTGAAGCATAGTTGTCAGTTCAAAGTAATAACTGAAATGATGGGGCCAAATGTTAATGAACACGTGTTAAAAAGCACTTTGATAATAGTTACAAGTCAGGTCTTGTAACTGTGAATGTTCATAATGTGATTCTGGAAGTAAATGCTTATGAGCAGGACCAAATAGAACTAGCTCTTCTTTTCAACATTTTCATGTTATTTTTGTCAGTCAAAGTCTGTGTTTTCAAACTGAGTAGGTTTGGGTTTAGTGCTGTGCAGTGGTTTGTAATGGCTTTTTAAGAGAGTGTATACAGTTTTAAAGCTATATTTAGCAGTTTTCTCTCATACAGACATATATACATACATAGTTACGTATAGATATAGATGTTGATATTTAGTCACTTTGTTGTTTGCTCTACAAATCCATGGCAACACTACCACAGGATTTTCTTGGTAAGAGCTGTCCGAACACTCAAACACTTAGGGATTATACCAGGCATGGGCAAACTTCAGCCCTCCAGATGTTTTGGACTTCAACTCCCACTATTCCTAACACCCTGAGGCCCTTTCCTTTTCCCTTTCCCACTTAAGTGGCTGAGGGGTAAAGGAAAGGGCTAAAGGGTGTTAGGAATGGGCAAGCTGAAGTTTACCCATGCCTAGGTTATACTTTTAGCTTAGCTGTAGCATTGTTTTTAATTTACATTGTTTTAAATAACTTGTGTCCCATTCTTGAGGGGCAGGTGCAATAGCAATGAAATAAGAAAAAGATTGCCCACATTTTCTACACTCAACCAAGGAAGACTACACTGGCCAACACACATTTTGGAGCCACAAAAGTTAGGGCTGTTTCTAGGTGGATTTGACATGGAAATCCCACAAATCCCCCTTATGGGCTCTACTTTTTGAGATACAGAACATATGCCATCTACCAGCATTCATCTGCTTGCCTTTAGAAAATGGTGTCAACCATATCTAAGGGCCCTTCCACACAGCTGAATAAAATCCCAGATTATCTGTCTTGAACTGGAATATATAGAGCCCCCAGTGTGCAATGGGCTAAACCCTTGTGCTGCCGGGGCTGATGACCGACAGGTCAGCAGTTCAAATCTGGGGAGAGCAGGTTGCGCTCCCTCTGTTAGCTCCAACTCCCTATGTGGGGACACGAGAGAACCCTCCCACAAGGTTGATAAAACATCAAACATCCGGTTGTCCCCTAGGCAATGTCCTTGCAGACAGCCAATTCTCTTACATCAGAAGCGACTTTCAAGTCGCTCCTGACACGAAAGAAAAAACTGAAATATAGGGCAGTGTGGACTCAGATAACCCAGTTGAAAGCAGATCTTGTGGGATTTTCTGCCTTGATATTCTGGGATATAGGGCTGTGTGGAAGCACCCTTAAACTAGTCTGATGACTCAAGGGCCTGTCCAGACAGCCCTATATCCCAGAATATCAAGGCAGAAATTTCCACAAGATCTGTTTTGAGCTGGGTTATCTGAGTCTACACTCAGATCATAGAATCAGAGAGTTGGAAGAGACCTCATGGACCATCCAGTCCAACTTCCTGCCAAGAAGCAGGAAAATAAAATTCAAAGGTAATGCGGGATTTTCCGCCTTGATATTCTGGGATATAGGGCTGTGTGGAAGGGACCTAAGAAACCAGAGCTGATGGGGTCCATCCAATGCAATTTTCTGAATCAGCACCCCAAAATAACCCCAGGAACAGGCCTAAAAACTAAGACTCTTGAGGGCCCTTCCACACAGCCCTATATCCCAGAATATCAAGGCAGAAAATCCCACATTATCTGAGTGTAGACTCAGACAACCCAGTTCAAAGCAGATAATGTGGGGTTTTCTGCCTTGATATTCTGGGATATAGGGTTGTGTGGAAGGACCCTCAGTCCACACGCAGATAATGTGGGGTTTTCTGCCTTGCTATCCTGGGATACAGGGCTGTGTGGAAGGGCCCCAAGAAAGTCCCTTCCTGGAGAACACAGAAGGCAGGAAACCGCCTTTTTTTTTCTGTATCAGGGTCCACTTCTATGATCTCCTGATCTAAGGCACGCGCGTCCTTTTTTGTCCGCCGACATCCATGCCTAGCGGACACCGGCTGCCTGTGTTCCCCTTTAAGCGCCAAGCGCCGCCTCCCCTTTAAAGCCCGGCAGGCTCTTCCCACTCCTCCTCCTCCCCCTCCCCTCCAGTTCTCGCTGGCTTGTCTTGTGTGCCTGATTTGTCTCGCGCAGCAGCGGTCTCGGCCGTGCGTCGCCTCAGCTGCTGCTGGAGCCGTTGTTGTCGGAGCGAGCGAGCGAGCGAGGAAGGGGAGGTTGCCGCGAGGCCGCCGTTGCCATGGCGGGGGGCCCGGCTCGCGCCAACGCCGCCGCCACTCCTGCTGCTCCTCCCGCCCCGCGCCCCTTCTTCCCTACCTGCCTCGGGCTGGCCGTGCTGGTGCTGGTGCTGCTGGGGGGCCAGCGGGGGGCCCAAGGTGAGCGCGAACGGAGGGAGGGGGGAGGGGGGAAAGAAACAGAGCCTTCGCCAACATGGCGGCTGCGATATTGGGGAGCCTTCCTCACAGGGTAGTGGAGAAAGAGGAGGAGGAGGAGGAGGCCAAGATTATTGGGGGAAGGGTGGGGGGAAGAGGAAGCAAGCCCCTCAGTTTCCCTCACCCCCATCTGTCCCTCCCCAGAGGAGGCCCATGCCATCCTTCAGCCCTTCCTGGAAGCTCCTGTTGTGTGGCTCCTTCCTCAGCAGCAGCCATGGCTGGAATGAGGCGGCGCGCCTTCTGAGGTGCGGCGTCCTGGGAAGGTATGGCGGACGTGCCTTGGCCGGGTGTGTTTGCCTGCCTCTGGGGGACTGGGAGCAGGAAGGGGGCTCGCCCCGTCTTGGGGTGGCTCAGTGGCTAGGGTTTAGGCCCCATCGGGGAAGGAGAGAGCATCACCTTAGCGTTTGTTTATGTAGTCTTTTATTCGCCTCCTATTGGGGTGGCTCATTGGCTGGGGCTTAGGCGCCATCGAGGAAGGTGATGTTTATTCGGCCATTTATTTATAGAGATGGTTCGCCTAACATTGAGGGGTGTCAATGCTAGGGTTCAGAAACCATCCAGGAAGATGAGAGGGACATCTGATCTTTATTCAGTCATTTATTGGTGTGTGTTTTTGCAGACGAGGGGAGGGGTCCTTTTGTGCCCATGCGTTGGTGTGTTTGTGTGTGTGTGAGAGAGAGAGGGGAGGCATTTGAAGGCCTGCCAGTTCCTTTTCTCTCTGTATTGTACCACAGAACTGACTCTGAGAGACCGATGTCTTCAAAAGCACGTTTAAATGGATGTTACATATTTTGTCAACAAGATGTACAGTTTGAGCATCTCTTGCCCTAAATTCCAAAATGGTCCACATGGATGGCTGAAATAGACAAATCAAATCAAAATCTTCTATTTACAGTCCACGTCCAGTGTAGAATCATAAAGTTGGAAGAGAACTCATGGGCCATCCAGTCCAACCTCCGCCAAGAAGCAGGAAAATTGCATTCAAAACACCCCCAAATTCCACCTTACAATCATTCATCCACATCAGTACATTGTTTACATTAGGTTAGGACAGTGGTTCTCAACCTGGGGTCCCCAGATGTTTATGGCCTTCAATTCCCAGAAATCCCAGCCAGTTTGTCAGCTGTTAGGATTTCTGGGAGTTGAAGGCAAAAAACATCTGGGGACCCCAGGTTGAGAACCACTGGGTTAGGATATAAATTTAAATTTAACACCATTTAAAACCCTACTCTGATTGTAGGTTTCAAAAAGATAACCTAGACCTGGCATGGGCAAACTTTGCCCTCCAGGTGTTTTGGACTTCAACTCCTACAATTCCTAACAGCCAGTAGGCTGTTAGGAATTGTGGGAGTTGAAGTCTAAAACACCTGGAGGGCCAAAATTTGCCCATGCCTGACCTAGACCTTAAAACTATATCATGTTCAAAACATTTTGTCCTGTACTATAGTAGTTACCTTAAAATCATTCATCCATGTGAATGCTTACATTTGTTGTTCATTCGTTCAGTCGTCTCCGACTCTTCGTGACCTCATGGACCAGCCCACGCCAGAGCTCCCTGTCGGCCGTTACCACCCCCAGCTCCCTCAAGGTCAGTCCAGTCACTTCAAGGATGCCATCCATCCATCTTGCCCTTGGTCGGCCCCTCTTCCTTGTGCCTTCCACTTTCCCCAGCATAATTGTCTTCTCTAGGCTTTCCTGTCTCCTCATGATGTGGCCAAAGTACTTCAACTTTGTCTCTAGTATCTTTCCCTCCAGTGAGCAGTCGGGCTTTATTTCCTGGAGGATGGACTGGTTGGATCTTCTCGAGTCCAAGGCACTCTCAGAACTTTCCTCCAACACCACAGCTCAAAAGCATCGATCTTCCTTCGCTCAGCCTTCCCTAAGGTCCAGCTCTCACATCCGTAGGTGACTACAGGGAATACCATGGCTTTGACTAGGCGGATCTTTGTTGCCATTCTGATGTCTCTACTCTTTACTATTTTATCGAGATTGGACATTGCTCTCCTCCCAAGAAGTAAGCGTCTTCTGATTTCCTGGCTACAGTCTGCATCTGCAGTAATCTTTGCACCAGCGCCCCGACAAGGCGGTGATCCTTTGCTGGAGATGCTTACATTAGGTTATGATATAAATTTAAATTTATCACTATTTAAAAGCTATTTACAAAAACGCTACTCTCACTATAGGTTTCGAAAAGAAAACCTAGACTTTAACACTATATCATGTTAAAAACATTTTGTCCTGTACTATAATAATGACACTTTTGCTTTCTGGTGGTTCAGTAATGCAGTCTTTGTTTAATTCACAAAGTTATTTAAAATCTGGTATACAGTGGATAAAGTATATGTGAAACAGCAATAAATGGCGTTTTAAGGCTTGGGGCCCATCTTTAAGATATCTTATTTTGTGGGTATATGAAGATAGAAATATTTCAAAGTAATAATAAAAATCAAAACATTTTCAAATACAGGAGATAACGTTCAACACAAATTTCTCCTCCGAAAAGGAAATCATATGCTAACCTTTGAATGTAATCATACATTCCCAGTGAGGTTTGGGTTCACCTTAAATAGCCTGGTTTTTTATTGTTTGGTTTCACTTGTAAAGCACTGTCAGTCTGATGACTCTTAATTCCCCCTTGCTGTCTCAACAAAGACATCATCAAAAAAGGAGCCAGTCACAAACCAGTTCCTTATGTGCAGACACATTTGTTAATTTATTTTCAAAGAAGGTAAGAAGCCTTGCTCTTGAGAACATCTTGTACATTGACAGAGCTGATGCTGATGCAGGGCAGTTTATTCATATGGAATAGTCTCTTGATGATGTTTCTTATGAAGTCACTTAAAGATCTGTAGGGGAATAATAAATTATCGTAATTTTACCATGAATTCTCAATTCCATATTTACAAACCAGCACCTGTCAAATTTACCCCAAATGATTTTTTATCATGTGAAAAATACATTTTACGCTTCCCTCATTATGTACCTCCTTGGGCCCTTCCACATAGCCATATAACCCAGAATATAAAGTCGGAAAATCTCACAATATCTGCTTTGAACTGGGATATCTGAGTCCACACTGCCATATATTCCATCTTGAAGCAGATTATTGGGATTTTATTCAGCTGTGTGGAAGGGGTCCTTGTTAATATGGACATTCAGATGCAGATTTCCTGAAAATTCAAAACCATGGAAGAACTGGGTTTTGGGATGGAGTTCCTCCCTGGAAAAAATATATTGGGGCATTTTGATGTATAAATAGTCTTTTGTAGATGTAATCATTGTTACTTTAGAAACCTAATGTGATGTATAACTCGGCTTGTTCGTTTGAAAAAGTATTATGATTGAATATATTAAATGTGAATGTATACTTTATTCAGACAATAGTTATACATTTATTCAGTTTAAATATTTTTTTTAAAAAAGGAATTGCAAGATGCCGAATGATCTACTACTCTGTTTTTCCCAATTTGAGAAGTCATCAAAAGGCTATAGTTGGAAATATACAAAATGTACAGAATAATAAAAGAAAGGATGTATTCTAAATGCATATGCCTCCATAGTGTCATCCAGACAAGGAAATCACTCAACTTTCAGGAAGAAAAGCTCACAGTAATTGGGAAGGACCCTCAGGATGAAATTAATAGTTTTCTTTTCTGAGCTATCTCTGTCCAATATTTTTCTAATCTTCTATTTTTAATCTTCACCAGCATATAAAAATGAAGATTGGCCTATTCAGGCTGTATTACGAACAACAGATGTTGCATATTCTGAAATGTTTTCTCTTCAATTTCAAGACCCCACAATGCTTTAAAATAGATGGAATTGGTACAAGCCATCAAGCGATATTTCAGCAAATTTCCTGAAATTATATGTCAGGATTATTCAAGAACAGGGGTCCTCAAACTTTTTAAACAGAGGGCCAGGTCACAGTCCCTCAAACTGTTGGAGGGCCGGATTATAATTTGAAAAAAAACATGAGTGAATTCCTATGCACACTGCACATATCTTATTTGTAGTGCAAAAACCACTTAAAACCAATACAATAATTAAAATGAAGAACAATTTTAACAAATATACATTTATTAGTATTTCAATGGGAAGTGTGGGCCTGCTTTTGGCTGATGAGATAGGATTGTTGTTGTTGTGTGCTTTCAAGTCATTACAGACTTAAGTTTTCCCTGAGCGAGGGCTGGGTAAATGACTTTAGAGGGCTGCATCCGGCCCCCGGGCCATAGTTTGAGGACCCCTGTTCTAGAACATTGGTTCTCAACCTGTTGTTCCCCAGGTGTTTTGGCCTACAACTCTCAGAAATTCCAGCCAGTTTACCAGCTATTAGGACTTCTGGGAGTTGAAGGCCAAAACATCTGGGGACCCACAGGTTGAGAACCACTGTTCTAGAAGGTAGATAGAGAGGGACAAGGCAGAAGTATTTTATTCCCATAGTTTTCCATTGTTGGTCCTCCCCCCCACCTCACAAGAACCAGTTTGGTGAAGTGCTTTTGAGTGTTGGTTTATGACTAGAGGTCAGCATTTGAATTTCTGGTTTGCCATGGAAGCCCTCAGAGGAAGGCAAAGTCAAACCCCCTCTGAACAAATACTGCCAAGAAAATATCATGATAGGTTTACCTTAGCGTTTCTTAGAGGTCAGAAATGTCAGTTTAAATTATGCATCATATGAGGAAAGTGAAAAGTGAGATACTTGTTCCCTTACATAATATTACTATCTAGCAACCCATATCCAATGAAGATGAATAATACGAGATTCAGAAGCATTTAATGAATAATCATAAGTGGAATTCATCAGTAAAAGATACATAGATAACTGTCAACCTGGGTGGCTTTCAAATGGAATTGGATAATAGTAAAGGATATAGACATCAGTGAAATGTCTAAATCAGTGGTTCTCAACCTGTTGGTCCCCAGCTGTTTTGGTATACAACTCC